TCAGACACTATTGGCTCTGCTCCTGCCAGAATTCCACTTGATCAAAACATGAAGCTTAGCAAAGATGAAGGAGAATTGCTGCCTGAACCATCACTTTACAGGAGGTTAGTAGGTAGATTGCTATATCTAACCATCACCAGACCAGATCTGGCCTACTCAGTCCAACTATTAAGTTGTTTTATGGAAAGTCCTAGAACCCAACACCTACATGCTACTCATAAAGTTTTAAGGTACATCAAAAGAGCACCAGGTCAAGGGCTATTCTACTCTGCAGATTCAAACATATGGCTGAACGGATATTGTGATTCAGATTGGGGGGCCTGTGTTGATACTAGAAGATCAGTGACTGGTTACTGTGTATTCATTGTCAAGTCCTTAATATCATGGAAGTCAAAGAAACAGCATGTGGCATCTCGATCTTCTGCGGAGGCCGAATACAAAGCAATGGCTAACTTGTGTTGTGAAATCACTTGGCTTGGTTACTTACTTAAAGATTTGAAGATCAAACTGCCTGATAATAAGGCGGCTATCTACATAGCCACAAATCCGGTTTTCCACGAAAGAATCAAACATATTGAGCTCGATTGTCACTTGATTAGAGACAAGATACAAGATGGGAGTATTGTGACTCAACATGTTTCCAGTAATTCTCAGATTGCTGATGTTTTAACCAAATCGTTAAGCTCACAAAATTTTTATTCATGCCTATCCAAGATGGGAGTGATGAATATCTACTCTCCATCTTGCGGGGGGGATATTGAAGATGCCAGATTCCAACCTGATGAGTCACTTACACAGTCAGCAAGAAGATAACCAAGCTGGAATCAGTGACAAGGATGCGGCAGAAGAATGATCTAGAAGCTGATTTGTTAGGCAGTTATTTTTGCACAGAATTGTATTGTTTTATTGGTTCTTCCTTCACGTGTTAGTTAGCCAGTTTTGTTAGGAAAGATTCCATTCATTGCTGTATATATTTTCTTTGTTGCTCAATGTAAAGTAATCGAATTCTTCTGTCAAGTAATGAATACATAATTTCAGCTTCAATTAAATTCGTTTATATCTCTTATATTTCAAAACTTTACAAAAAGTGATAAAAGATTATCAATTTAAGTATAAAATTATTCTATTGGAAAATATATGATTGAAAATATTTCATGGAAAGGTCTTAGAAATTATTCAACGGCTCCTAGAGATTTGAATCACAGCTTGATCAACATTTACTAATTCATGTTCTAGTTTCCGAGTTTTTAGAAGCAGCATTTTGCATGATCAGTTGGAATAAAACTAAATTGAGATGGACAGTGTGATATCGGTGTTTCATAGTGACCCGACAAAATTGAGGCTTCACACAACAAGATCATGGGATTTTATCAACTTACTTGAAGGAATTGGGAATTCAAGCTCTTCAAATGCAGAAGAATTATTGCGTAAAGCAAATTATGGGAAGGATATCGTTGTCGGGGTCTTAGACACCGGTAATCTCAACAGGTTTTTATTTGCAGATCTACACGTTGATAACAAATTTATTACAATCAAGTTTAATTTTTGATTATTTGTATGATTTATTTTCAACCCGCTTCTCGTCCATTAAAAAGCTTAAAAAATTAATGTTTTGATAAATTACTCTTTTAATTAAAAATGTAAATAGAGGAGAACTTATTTTTATAAGACGGTATGAGTTATTTTTGAGAGCATGTTTGGCTTAACTTCAATTACTGGTGAAAATTGAAAATAAATAAATTAGTTTGGATAAAAATAACTTTTTGGACTTGAAAAAGTTAGATATATTGTAACTTAGCGTGTTTGGAAATAAAAAGTTTCTTAAAAGCAACTTTGCATTTTTCTAGACCTATCCAAACATGCCCATCACGAGTTGAAATTTGACATCCCCATTTAGTTGTGTTCCTTAGCTATCTATTCATTAACATTTTGACAAATCATTACATCGCCTCTTGTTCGCAGATAGTAAAACACAATACATAACCTAACAATGAAATTCTTTGAAATGACATCCTCCTATTTGCTAGAAAGAGAATAAATATTAATATTTTAATGAAGAATAGCTAAAGGGACAACATACCCAACTTTGAACCAAAAAAAATAATAATTAATTGTTTACTCAATGAGTAATTTTTTTAAAATTACTTGGCCAAACACGTAAAAATTTCACTTTCTTTTAACTGAAGCTATAGCGTCTCTGTCAAGTATCTTAGTAATATCTATCTTCCGTTAGGTATATGGCCAGGTATATGGCCCGAATCCGAGAGTTTCAATGATTTTAATTCATCTAATTGTAATAGGCGAATTCTTCACACATATTGTGACTATTTATGTTTATAATATTAACTGTATATTATGTCAAAAAAAAGATTATTTGTTTGGCATTCTTGTAGAAAGATAATCGGAGCTCACTACTACTTGAAGGGTTACGAGGCCTATTTTGGTCGCCTCAACACAAGTTTGGATTTCCGATCACCAAGGGACAAACGTAGTCATGGAACTCACACATCATCGACCATTGGAGGCCGAAGAGTTAGTAATGTTTATGCACTAGGAGGATTTGCTAGTGGAACCGCCACTGGGGGCGCTCCACTCGTGCGCCTGGCCATGTACAAAGTATGTTGGCCAGTTCCGGGTTACAGCCTAGCAGAAGGCAACGCATGTCTCAATGATGACATTCTTGCTGCCTTTGATGATGCCATCAAGGATGGTGTTCGAGTAATCAGTGTTTCAATGGGTTCATGACTAGTAGGCAGCACAAAGAAGATGGAATCGCAATCGGGGCATTGCATGCAGCGAAACAAGATATTGTAGCAGCATGCAGTGCAGGCAATTCTGGCCCTTCCGTGTCTTCAGTATTGAATGTAGCCCCTTAGATGATTGCTGTAAGAATCCGCAGAATTCTTTAACATGAATTTTGGTCAAGAAACTTACTTGAAATTATAAATTTCAAGATCTTTTGATGGTTGAATCACCTTACCTTCCAAAACTCCAAAATCTGCTTTTCTTGTTCTCCAATGGTCCCAATCCCAATCACAATGGAAGGGGATTATTATCCACAATCTAAGCATCAATTTTTGTGAGATTTCATGTCCAAAATCTGGTTCTAAGGACTTTTCAATTTTGGTGTAAATTTATATACGAATTTTCCCTTCATTTTTCATGCCATATTTTTCCTTTTTTTCCAATGCACAANGTTCTAAGGACTTTCCAATTTTGGTGTTAATTTCTTTACAAATTTTCCCTTCATTTTTCAAGTCATCTTTTTCCATCTTTTGCAAATGCATAATCATTAGAGGTTGTATGGGAGTTAAGAGTGGTTATATGGAGTTGCATGTTTAAACTTCAAATTCAAATCAATCCCTCCAATCCTTTTAATAATTTGTGGGTCGGGTCATCCTACATGGACGACCCACGACCCGTATTTTTCTAACATCTCTCACTCGCACATGAAGGGCTTGATCCGAACCACAAGGGACAACGAATGTCAAGCATTAGATCTTTCTCAAGATCTACCTGACAAAAAATTTATACGACAAATAGATCATGCGACCAACGAGTAATATTAGAGCTTACAATACTATAAACCTGTTAGGGATATACAGTAGCTCAACTAGAGGAACATTACATCTCGCTATACCCCAAACTCATTTTCCAACATTAATTCAAATATTTTCAATCCCTCGAATACTTATGGAACATACTTGAACCCC